TTATGACCGTCTACACTCCTGTGGAAATCAATGTGGCAGGCCTGTAGCCTAATAGGAATAGCTACATCACTCAACAAGGCAGTTCCAAGCTTGGCTGAGGCAGGACTTTGTGTTGGAATGCTTCCTGGGCTACCACACATGACTGTCCAAAAAAAAAATACTGGAGGATTGGCTCAGCAGATACACTTGCAGCTAAGCTTCATCATGACCTGAGTTTGCACCTTGGAACCCACATTGTAGAAAGAGAGTGCTGACTCCCAAAGGCTGTCCTCTGACTTCCACAGATATGCTTCCACACAACAGCTTAGCAAGGCAGTTCTAAGCAGAATGAGTTGGCACACATCCTAGCTCCTAGCAGTCGGCAGGTGGAAGCAGGAGTGTTGCAGCAAGTTCAAGGTTAACCTGGTCTACAATGTGAGTTCTAGGCCACTCATCACCATGCAATGAAACACATTCTGAAAAGGTTGTTTTTTGGTTTTTCGAGACAGGGTTTCTCTGTGTAGCTTTGGAGCCTATCCTGGCACTTGTTCTGTAGACCAGACTGGCCTCGAACTCATAGATATCCACCTGCTTCTGCCTCCCAAGTGCTGGGATTAAAGGCACGAGCCACCACCACCTGGCTAATTTTGAAAAGATTTTAAACACAAAAATATTGAAGGTACTTAAGAATAAAGCAAACTAATCGTGGCAAATATTGAAAAGACAGTTCTACTTAAGAATAAAGCAAATTAATCGTGGCTGTTCATTTTCCTTATTTAGGACTTTTGCTCTCAGTTTGACATCACTATTTCAACTGCATTATAAGACAGGAAGAACATTGAGATAGTATCAAAACCCACTTCCTTTTTATGTGCAAAAATATAGAGCTCTGACAGCAAAACTGATACTTTTAGTTGAAAATTGATAGAAACTCTTGATATATGTACACCTTTCAGGCAAATAGGAACAGATTAGAACTCGGTCTAATATTGAATCTAGCTAATTTCTTTATATGTAATGTAAAGGAAATTCCCAGTTTGTAGTTTCAGTTCTTAGTTTTCAGACAGGAAGCATGTTCAGAGACGAGCTTAATGGAATTTCAAGTCAAGGTAAGGTGGAATAATGTCAGTAAACTATTAGTCAAATCATCGATCTCTGTAATGTTTTATGGTCATAGCTAAGGGAAAGCTCTGTCTTTTCCCCAAAATACTATACTATACTATACTATACTATACTATACTATACTATACTATACTATACTATTACTATTACTATGAAACAGCTGCATGGATAGTTACTTTGTTTTGTCGTTCCCCCCTGGAGACAGGCTCTCTTTGTGTAGCCCTGACTGTACTGGAACTCATGTAAACCAGACTGGCCTTGAACTGCCTCTGCCTCCTGGGTGCTGGAATTTAAGATGCTGCATAGATACAGTTTTTATCTTGTTATAAGAAAAAGTTGTGAGATTTGGTTTGCTATTGCTATTTTTTTAAGAAAAAAAAAATGAGTCCTTTTCATTGTAAGGAATCCCTTTTTCCCTAGGGCACATGATTGTTAGCCTTCTAGCATTTTTATATATGGAAAGTTACTCAGTGGGAAAAATTGGGTTGTTTCAAATGTATCCTGGAAATGAAACTTTTGGCAAAGTTAACTTAGGTTGAAAGACTTCTGGGTGATACTCTTATTGATAGTGGCTGAGGTGAAGGTTTGGGCACAGCCTGTGTTAAACATGGCTGCACTATTAGGTAAAGGAAAGTTCCTGTCTCCCAAGTGATAGAATTAAAGGTGTATGCTACCACACCAGGCTTGATTTTTTTTTTTTTTTAATTTAAACATTTCAAATTTATGTTTCAAATATCTGTAAGTTGATAGTAATACTTTAAAAACTTATAAAGTGGTGGTGGTGGTACACACCTTTAATCCCAAACACTTGCTGGGACAATCTGGCCTACAAAGCAAGTGCCAGGACAGCCAGGGCTTCACAGAGAAACCCTGTCTCAAAATCAAACAAACAAACAAACAAAAAACTTTACTATTTTGTTCCTGAAGCAGCAAATTACCACGAACTGTGTGGCTTAAGAAACACAAATTTGTTTTCTCACAGTTCTAAAAGGCCAGAGTTCATAAGCCCATGTGTCAGCAAGGTTTCTTTATCTCCAGATGCAGTCAGAGACTCCTCTGGCCCTTTCTTACTTCCTGAAATGGCTAACATAATAACTGCATTGTGGCCACTTTATTCTAACCCTGGCCTTTTCTTCACCTACTTTGAATCTGCCTTCACTATGTAGCTTATAAAAATACTTTGTTGTGTGGGGTGTTGTGGCAAATAACTTAATACCAACACTTGGAAGTTAGAGGCAGGGGTTGTCTGTGAGTTCAATGCCAGCTAGGACTATAATTGAGATCTTATCTTGAAAAATAAAAAAAATATTTTGTTAAGACTAACTTGCATAATCTCGATAATCTAATCACAAGATACCTAACCCTTTCACCAATAAAGCAACTTCTTCATTACTCTAAAAATAAGACTCAGATCTTGCTTTTGTTCCATACTAGCTTTGTAGTTTTTCTAAAGCTACTTCAGTTTTTTGATATGTAAATATAGGGATTGACAACATACATAGCAGCCAATATGTATCTTTGTATTATTTTATTTGTACAAAAAAATGTAATCATGCAAACCTAGTTAGTTAGATTAAGTTATATCTGGAAATAGAATTTCAGGAGTTTGGAATAGAGAGTGTAAAACTTTCATTAGAAAAGAGAAGAGTTGATCAAAATCTCATTAAATAAACTTAGTATAGTTTTAGGTACATAGAGAGATTTGCTTTTTCTTACTAAGTTGTAGAAGGGAATATTGAGAGAGGTTTCTCAGCGTATGTTTAAGTCTTGTTTGCACTTTGAAGTTCTGAGATGTTAGCATTTAAAGAGAAGATTGTTTTAACTTTCATAGTTGTTGAGACTAGAGCTTAATATAATTTCAGCCCTTATTGGTGGGTTTGATATATTTGAGTTGGTTTAGTGATAGGTTTGTGCTTTGTATGTTAAAAAAGATATTTGCCTTAAGAAAGAACCTTTCAAGTAACATGTCTTGATTATTACAGATAGCTTTATTATCTTTTTAAAACAATGAAGTATGATTCTTGGATTCTTTAGTAGGGCTGTTGTGAATGTTTGCTGTTTATAACCAGGCAGTTTTTAGGAGAAATGAGAAAATGTATATTATGAAATTTTTGCAAGGCTTTAGCAAAAAAAGTTTAATCTTGTATTTTCATATGTTCTGTGTAATATCATTGACCAAATAAAAAAGACAATACATACTGACAGTATATAGAGAAAGTGGAACCCTCTTGCATTCCTAGTGGAATTGTTATTATTTTGTAAAACTGTATGCTGCCTCTGCCTCCTGAGTTCTGGGATTAAAGGCATATGCCATCACCCCCGAGCCTTTTTTTCTTTTCTTTTCTTTTTTTTTTTTTGTGGTAGATTATAGGTGTTTTATTTTCCTGTTTTGTTTTTGCTTCAAGCTGATTGTATATCAGTTCCTTCCCATATATATAAACATGACATTTATGAAGATGAGGATACAGAGCCAAAGTTAAATTAGGACATTTAAGAGGACAGTGGCAGCCTGGCGGTGGTGGTGCATGCCTTTTGTCCCACTACTTGGAAGGCAGAGGCAGCTGGATCTCTGTGAGTTCAAGACCAACCTGGTCTACAAGAGTTAGTTCCAGGACAGTCTTCAAAGCTACACAGAGAAACCTTGTCTTGAAAAACCAAACAAAAATAAAAAAGAGGACAGTGGCATGTTATACATCAGGCATTGTGTAATTCATTATATATATCTTATTTTTCTGTCAGTTACCTAGCAGCATATCATGTGTCTTAAACCTTCTTGGTCTTAACCATGCAATATCATTTTGCTATAATTCTTTCAGGTCAAATTAAGAAGACATTAGGCAACATCTATTTTTCAGGAGTCATCTTTAGGTTGTTTCTCAAATTGAACTTCCTTGTTCTTACATGAGATGTCTGAACCAACAAAATTTTTATCTTCTTAACTAGCATATTCATTGGGCTTGTAGAAGACATGAATTTGGCTCCCAGTATCCACGTTGGCCAGCTCACAGTGTGTGTAACTCCATCACTAGAGGATCTGATGATCTCTTTTGGCCTCCATGGACACTGTCCTCATAGGTACCCACATACACACACACGGACACTGTCCTCATATGTGTACACAGGCACAAAACCTTAACCGCTTTTTAAAAAAGAGGGCTGGAGAGATGCCTCAGTAGAGTACTGGCTGCTCTTCCAAAGAACCCAGGTTTGATAACAAGCACCCCCATGGCACGTCACAACTATCTCTAACCTCATTCCAAGGCATGCTACATCCTCTTCTGTTCTCTATGAGCACCAGACATTTAAAAATAAGATTTAAAATGTACTTATATAGTGTTAAACATTATAGTGCATAAAGATATGCCTGCCATGACTTCAGTGTATTTAATAGAGAGGTCTTCAAAGTCCCTCTTGTACAGATAAGCCTAAAGCTCGTGACATGAGGGAAGGAATGATATGGTTATAACAGTGGAAGAACTTTGAAGTGCAAATGGCCTTATTGTCTTTTCACAACTTTGCACCATGTTGGATTGTTATTATTCACCTTCAAATTACCTTAAGACCATAGATCGGACAGAGAGCCTTGGGACCTTATTCTAAGTTCTAATTTGGTAACATTTATACATGACTTCCTGCTCCTTTAATCACTCTAATATATTAAACAATGAGAAGTAATATATACTAATACTCGCCCCTTCCCCGTCCTATCATTCTACACTAGAACTTTCTGAGGAAATAAAGTGAAAAGGGAGACTGTTTGCAGGACAACTCCAAAGAGAAGATCCTTCCCTAAAGTGTTTGGTCACAGTTCTTAACAGGTAGCAGCATATGATCTGGGGAAGGAATGGTGCTTGATATCAACTCTGATAACACATTTCTTCCTTGTCAATTTTCCCTAGTATCGTCTAGACTGTCACAGCCATCATCTCCCCAATCAGGCTGTCCATCTCCCACCATTCCAGCAAATAAAGTCATTTCTCCATCACAGAAGCACAGCAAAAAGGCATTAAAGCAGGTAAGCATTAAGTCTGTTTATCAGGAGAATAATCCCTCCAATTAAAAGTAATTATGAAAGTCAGGGCTGTCACAGAGAAGGTGTTTGTGTGAGCATGTGTGCATGTGCGTGTGTGTGATGACCATGTTTATATATACATGTTTCCATGTCTATGGGAGACAGATATGGGTGAATGTTCATGTCTCCATACTTTATATCCATGAGTATTTATGTGTATATATGTTTCCATGTCTGTGGACACACTGATGTTGGTGCATGTTCATGTCTCTATGCTTTATGTCTCTGAGCATGTGTGTATATACATTTTTCCATGACTATGGAAACACAAATGTGGCTATGTGTTCATGTCTTCACATCTTATATCCAAATTTATAAGATTTGTAAGAGGGAATTTTTTGTTTGTTTGAGAACTCTTTGATTTTGTGTGGTGTGTCTGTGTATGTCTATGCCTTTGCATACAAGGGAGGTCAGAACAACTTTTGGGAGTCACTTCTCTTCTTCCACTGTATGATTCATAGGTACCCAACTCTGATATCTGAGCCATCTATTTCAAATGGCCCTCTTTCTTTTGAAATGGTCATTCTAAATAATATCATCTTAACTCTATTAATTAACAACCTCTTAGGAATAAAAATGACACAAAACCAGGTGGTAGTGGTTCCCAATTGCCTGTAATCCCAGCACTCAGGAGGCAGAGTGTGGTGGGTCTCTGTGTTTGAGACTAGCCTGGTCTACAAGAGTGAGTTCCAGGACAGCTAGGAGAAAAAAAAAGAAAAGAAAAAAAAGGGGGTGGGGAAGACTATCATTTGGGCAAGTGTCTTCATTCTTACTAAAGGTAATTCAAATACTTATTAAAATGAACCATCTGTGAAGTATAAATAATACAAATATTTGCCGTTTTTTTCCCATAGAATCAATGCATATTGAACTCATACTGGTACATCGCTTAGAATTCTGTTTTCAGCAATGATAAAAGTGTGTAATTGTCTAATTAGAAGAATGTAAATTTCTTTCCTTACTGCTGACTTTTAAGTTCTTGGGGGGGGGACAAAAAAATCTAATAATTTTTCCTTACAAAGCTATGTGTAATGGAATAATCTTGGCCTCCCCCCAAAGCTCCCAAATTCTATAGGTCATTTAGGCCTTGTGTCAGTTTTGTTAAATTTAGGGTCTTGTTTGTATTGAATAGATATCAGAATAAGTTCTCACCATAACTGATGTCACTCACTGAAAACCAGTTTGCTTATTTCTCACTGCCAGTTTTTCTTTATAGGCCCTAAAGCAGCAACAACAGAAGAAGCAGCAGCAGCAATGCAGGCCAAGCATGTCCATCTCCAATCAACACCTCTCTCTCAAGTCCGTCAAAGCAGCCAGTGACAGTCTACCTGCCAAACCTGGTAGGCAGTTTGAGTATTCGTCTCTCCCCAATGGGATTTTCTGTTTCTGAGCATATTTCTACTTTTGATGTTGTAAATTTTTATACTGTATTGTTTATTTTTAAATTGCTATGATACTAGCATAATCTTTCTGCTGCTACAAAACTGATTTAAATCCTAGAATAAGGTGTGATGGTGGTGGTACATGCCTTTAATCTCAACACTGAGAGGCAGAGTCAAGCAGATCAAGGCTAGCCTGATCTATATAGAGCTAGCTCTAGGACCACCAAGGCTACATCAAAACCCAGTCTCTAAAAACAAAACAAAAAGCAAAACAACAACAAAACCCTAGGATAAATAGAAAACATTTTAATATAAAATTACCATGTACTTGATAAAGTGAAGGCATAACATTTGGAAGCCTATATTAATTTTATAAAACTGTTGTTTCTAAGGTCAAAGTGACCTGTGTATCTGTGTAGCAGATGCATACGTTTGTGTGTGTGCATGTTGAGGTCAGAAGACAGCCTCTTGTCATTCCCCTGTACTATCTATCCTCTGGTGGTTTTGTTTTTTGTATTATTTTGGACAAGTCTCACTCACTGACCTGTGACTTGAGGTTCCGCCTAAACTGGCTGACCAGCAAACTTTAGGAATCCTCCTGTCTCTGCTTCCTGCACTGGGATTATATGTTTGCTATACTTACTTTGGCTCTTTATGTGGTTTCTGAGGATCAAACTTAGGTCCTAGCAAACTTATGCAACAAGTACTTTTTTTGACTTCACCATCTATGCAGCCCTAAAGTGAGCTCTTTACCAGTGTTCTCATTTAAAATATGAAGATGGGGCTGGATAGGTGGCTCAGTCAATAAGACTATGTACTGGTCTGATTCTATCTTCTGGTATCTGTGGGCACTGGGCATACAGGTGGGGGAGTAGCATACATACTGGAAAATGTTCATACACATAACATCAAAATAAATCTTGAAATGGAAAGTGAAATATATATACTCTTTAGTTTTAATTGGATATGTTTCATGGACTTTATTTGTTGTTGCTTGTTTTGTTTTTTGCTTTATTTTGCCACAGACTTTGTTTTTCATTATGAATACCATAAGTGATTCTAGGAAGTGCCATAAAAGTCAAAGGTCTGAGTCTTACACATCTTTTCATTTTTGTTAGAAAAAATATTTATCATTGGAGATAAATAATGTGAGAGAAGATGTAAGGGATTTTATTTTACAAAGCTTTCAAGAGACCTACATTTCTTCATTTATAACTTTTGTAGTTGCCATGAAATACTGATTTGACTTGAATAATATTTTGATATTTTTATTTTATTTTTTTAAGTTATTGTATTTATTGGAATCTGGGGAGCAACATGTGGAAGTCTGGGAGTCAGCTTTCTCCTGCCATAAATCAGGCTGTCAGGGTTGGTACAGCTAGCTTCTTGCTAACTCCTTGTTTATGTATGAATCTCGGTATCACCCATCTTCACATTTTTCCCTTAGCCCTATGGGAAGGAAAGCAATCCGATGGACAGTCAAGCATTCCCCAGAACTCAAACTCCAGCTTTTCTTCCTCAGTGAAAGTGGACAATTCTCTTCTAGGATTGGGGAAGAAGTCTTTCCAGAGGTCTGACAGACTCCACACAAGTAAGTTAGTTTTCAGTGCAACGACGTGTACACAGTGTGCTTAAAATTGTCAGCTACTGGCTTGAGTTTAATGTATAACTTGAAATTTATTTTAAAAAGCCAGATGCCCTCCCTCCCTTCTTTAACAAAAATCAGATGTCTTCTGTAAGGGTTTATGTCTGGGTCTTCAGTTTGATCCCATTGATCATTATGTCTGTTTTTATGCCAATACCCTTCTGTTTTTATTACTGTAGCTTTGAGATCATGAATGGTGAGACCTCCTTCAGTTCTTTTACCATTCGGGATTGTGTAGCAACCCTAGGTTTTTTGTGTTTTCATAAAAAATTGAGAATTGTTCTTTCAAGATTTGGGAAAATTTTTGATCATGATTGCATTGAATCTATAGACGGCCATTTTTACTATATTAAACCTACTGATCTATGAGCATGGAGGAATCTTTCCATCTTCTGAAATCTTCAGTTTCTTTCTTCAAAGACTTGAAGTTTGTTTTTTGTTTTTGCTCCTTTTGTTTTGCTTTGTTTTTTGTGTTTTTAAGACAGGGTTTCTCTGTATTGTTTTGGAGCCTGTCCTGGAACTTGCTTTGTAGACCAGGCTGGCCTTGAAGTCACAGAGATTCTCCTGCCTCTGCCTCCTGAGTACTGGGATAAAAGGCATGTGCCACCAATGCCCGGCAGACTTGAAGTTTTTAATCATGCCATTTGATATGGATTGTATTTATTATTTGTTTGCCATTTGATATGGGTTATACTTATTATTTGTTTGTTGGTTTTTTTTCTTTTTTTTTTTTTTTGGACAGGATTTCTCTGTGACTTTCTGCCTGTCTCCTCAGTGTTGGGATTACAAGCATGTACCTTCACATCTGGCTTGGATTTTCTCTTTAAAAATCTTCAATGGCCTCTGTGTGTTATGATTATGCTTGTATACATGTTGTGAGCATGTGTATATCACAGTGTCTATATGGAGGTCAGAAGAAAGTTTCAAGTGTTGGTCCATACCATGTAAATTGTTTAAGGCAGGGCTCTCTCCTCATTTATTCATTTGAGACTTTTATATATAAATGCAATCTATTTTGATTTTTGTCTATTCCTGCTTATTCCCCAGGTTTCCCTTGATCACCCTTTAACATTTCTTCCTCCCAATTTTATGCCTTTTTTTCTTTTTAATAACCCATCAAGTCTAATTAGTGCTAAAGCAAGGTCTCTGCTGTTTGCAAACACAGATTAGCTGGCCAGTAAGCTTCCTGTCTTTACTGCCCATCTTGCTATAGTAGCCATGGGATTATAGACACATTACCACATCCAGCTTTTAAATAGGTTCTGGAGATTCCAATTGAGGTACTTATGTTTACAATGTTTACATGTCAGGTGTTTTTGCCCATGGTGCCATCTCCTCAGCCAGACTTTCTGTTTCAAAATATTTTTTTATGTGTATACATGTTTGTGTGAGTTTATAGGCATCAGTGGCATGCAGATACCTACCAAGGTCAGAAGGCAGCCTTAGTTCCCCTGGAACTGTAGTTACATGGAGTTGTGCGCCACAGGATGTTGGGGACCAAACCCAAATCCTCTGCACAAGCAGTTAGTGTTCTTAACCACTGAGCTATCTATCCAGCTCCAGTTTTCTATTAAATAAAAAACAAGTATTCTGTATATGTGTCATTTGTCATTTCTCATCAACTTGTTTAATTGAAGGAGAAAGGTATCTATTAGTTAATGATGAACAATTTACTTTTAGAGTTCTATTTTTGTAGATTATATTTTTATTCATTGTAAATAAGCAAAATTTCTTTCTTTTTTTTAATCTTTATTTTGTGTGCATTGGTGTTTTGCCTGTATGTTCATCTGTGTGAGGATGGTGAATCCTGGAGTTAGACAGTTGTGAGCTGCCATGTGGATGCTGGGAATTGAACCCCAGTCCTCAGGAAGAGGGTTAGTGCCCTTAACTGCTGAGCCATGTTTCCAGCCAGAAGATATTCCTAATATCTTTAACTCTGACTTCCGAGTTTAGTGTTTAATTTCTTCCTCTCTTCCTCCCTTCCTTCCTCCCTCCTTTCTTCCCTTCCTTCCTTCTTTCCTTTTGTTTTTACTTGAGGTACTGCATGACAAGTTATGGTTATGAACAAAACTGTGAAAGGAGAGTCAAATGGTAAATTATTATTTTCAACATTTCGTAGGACAAATGAAAAGGACTAAGTGTGCTGACATTGATGTTGAGACACCCGACTCCATTCTGGTTAATACTAATCTTCGAGCGCTGATTAACAAGCACACCTTTTCAGTTCTCCCTGGAGACTGCCAACAGCGCCTGCTTTTACTGCTTCCAGAGGTGGATCGACAGGTGGGTAATGTCACACATGAGTGATTTTCTCACTGAATGAGGCTTCTGGCATTCATCACCTTTAGAACTTAATATGGTTTTGTTTTCTTAAGATAATATCTCATGTATTCTAGGCAGCACTTAAATTTACTATGTAGCTAAAGATGTCCTACACTCTTAGGTTTACTTCTGAGTTTGGGGTTACAGACATATGTCACCATGTATTTGTATCTGTGTTGCTAGAAATAAAATCCAGGGCTTTATGTGTATTAGGCAAACACTCAGCTGAGTTACATGCCTAATTCTCAAATTTTTTAAAGGATCTTTTTATGTATTCCTATAAACGTGTGGTATTGTTGTGTGATTTTTTTTTCCTTTGGAAAGCTATGAAGACACATACCAGATAAAGTACCACCAATCAACAAAAGAAAAACCAAAACAAAAAACATGATGAAAGGAAGGCATTTTCCTTATTATGTAGTAACAGACTATCTTCCCTTGTTTAAAGGAAGATATTCTCAAGGTAAACTGCACAAATCATTATGGCTAATTGACTACAAAGTACAAATGAAGTATTTCTTGTTCTGAATGAAATATTTTTCTTTTTGTTTTGTTTTTGAGACAGGGTTTCTGTTTGTAGCCCTGACTCTCCTGGAACTTGTTCTGTAGATCAAGCTGGTTTCAAACTCAGATCCTCAAGTGTCAGAAAAAAAAAGTCTCTTTCTGAGACTTGCTTTGATAGCAGTTTCTTAGTGCTGTAATCAGCATACATGAGTAGTCCTTTTGGATAATTGAGTGAATTGGGTATTCTTCTAGCAATAGGGTCTAAAGGAGAGCTGTTCCTGGTGACTGCAGTCTCTGCTTCCAAGAAGGAAAAAAGTTACCTTGGAGGACACTCATGCAGTTAATTCTTGATAGAGGGTGGGTACCCATCCAGTTGATAGAAGAAATTAGGAGATTGAAGTCTCAGCCCATTCATTCATTCATTCACTTATTTGTTTGTTTATTTATTTATTGGGGGGGTGGGTCAGTGTTTCTCTATAGCTTTGGAGCCTGTCCCTGAAACTTGCTTTGTAGACCAGACTGGCTTGTAACTCACAGAGATTGAGCTTTCTCTGCCTTCTGAGTGCTGGGATTCTGGAATTAAAGATGGTGTGAGCCACCACTGCCTGGCTCCAGCATGGTTTGGCTGCTCTCTTCCGCTATGTGTCTGTATGTTTTGTGTTATTCCCACCCTCCAAGTGGAAGTGTTGGCAGAATAGTAAGCTAGAAATAATATATGAAGCATAACTAATAGCCTATTTGTGCAGTTCCAATGCTGTTTTCTGAGAAGCATTGATGAACCTTTCTACCTTCTGATACAAGATTGCCACATGTAGTTTATTGTGGTAATGGGGTTAAAGATATTCTTTAATTTTATGAGTGTTTTGCTTACATGTATGTGTATGTGCAATATATGTGAGGGTGATACCTGAGGTGACCAGAAGAGGACCCTGCATCTCCTGGAAGTAAGTGTGTGTGTGTGTGTGTGTGTGTGTGTGTGTGTGTGTGTGTGTGTGTGTGTGTGTTTCTCCCCCAGACAGGGTTTCTCTGTCGAATAACTCTGGCTGTCCTGGAACTCACTCTGTAGGCCAGGCTGGCCTTCAACTCAGAGATCCTCCTACCTCTGCCTCCCCGGTGCTGGAATTAAAAGTGTATGGCTGCACACACCCCATCATCCCCGGCGCCTAGTGTTGTTTTAATAAAACTGACCCTAATAGTTTTCTAGTTGAGATTCCCACAAATGGCAGTCCTACAGGGTTTTGTTGTTGTTGTTGTTTATTTGTTTGTGTCTTTTTCAGTAGGAAGCTAGTTGGCCAATATTTGAGATGTGGATATGATTAGCAATGAGAGCAATACTGAGAAGACACAGTTTTAATTACCTTAAATTACCATGTGTTCAATGTGGATAATGTTCCTGTTGAAAATACTCTAAACAATTTTTGTTGTTGTTGTTATTTTGTTTGTTTTTGGTCTTTCAAGACGGTTTCTTTGTGTAGCTTTGGAGCCTGTCCTAGAACTAGTTCTATAGACCAGACTGGCCCTGAACTCACAGAGATATGCCTGCCCCTGCCTCTCAGTTAAAGTCATGGGCCACCACCACCAGGCTTATGAACAAAGTATTTTTGAACATGATATGAGTGGCACTTTTTTAAAGAGTATTTTAAATAAGAGTTAATTTTTATTTAAAGATAGAAAAATTCAGATCTTTAGATGTATAGTTTTTTTAAAAAAATTTTTTTTTCCATTTAAAATTTTCTAATGTCCTGTGGTTTAGTGGGTAAAAGGAGTTGCCATTAGGACTGACAACCTGAGTTCAACCCTAGTACTCAGCATTGTGAAGAGAGCAAGCTAACTCATACAAGCTCTGACCATACAATGGCCATACAGATGCCATTGCACAAGCTGGGTGAGCACACATACAACCAATGTAATGAAGTCTGTCCTGTGCTTTGCTCTCTATCCTGAAGATGCATCCCCAGCTCCCAGAAAAAGAATTGAAACCTTGTGGCAAAGCATCATAAATGAACTCAGTACACATGTGAGGGGAAATACAACATCAGTAACCATAACTGTATGTGAACATGTCTCACAGTTTGATAAAAATAGCAGCCTAAGAATATAATGGAAACTGACACTTCTCAAGACCACCACAGACCTCCATGTTTAACAACAATGCAGCAATAGCAATCAACACAGGGGTCAGGAAATCATCTACCATTTCACATGTATGCAGTTGACAAAAATTAATTACATGTTGATTGGCAAGGAAAAGGGTATTATATGCTCATATATTGTTTTTAGCTTCAGCCTTTTCAGAAAGTAGTATAACAATATTTGCTTACGCACTAATCCGTGTTTTGTATTTCGATCTAGGAACTCAATCAAATAAAGTCCCTGCATGGCGTGCTGGTGAGCACCTTTAATCCCAGCACTTAGTAGGCAGAGGCAAGCAGATCTCTGTGAGTTTGAGGACAGCTTGACTGATACACAGAGAAACCCTGTCTTGAATCCCCTCCCCCCACCCCCCTCACCCCCCAAAAAACTCTATAAAACAATAAAAGTCCTGGTGCATCCATCTCTGCCGGGATATTTGTTGCAGCTTTATTGATTATGGGAAGACATTGCTAACAAAGTACATGTTTATCATTAGTAAACATGTTTACCATTATTTGATGAAATAATATGCAGCAATTTCAGAGATGCTACATATATGCCAGTTGACTTGAATAGATTTTCACAATGTATTCTATGAGAAAACTAAAGTCACAGTGTGTTATATATAATTTGGTTCCAATTCTGTAAAGAAAGTAATAAACTCTGTTAAGAAAATACACACGGATTTATGTATCATTCAATGAGCATTATTTTTCCATCCTTGTGGAATGGAACTGAAAACAGTGGAAAAGAGATATATGGGGGAGGGGTTTGTTTTGTTTTTAAAGGAGAAAATGGTATTATGGTTTAAAGAAAACAGTTAAAAAAAAAAAAGAGCTAGCCATGTTTGGGTAGTATTCTCTCTCTCCTCTTCCTCTCTCTTAGAGACAGGGTTTCTCTATGTAGCCTTGGCTGTCCTGTAACTCACTCTGTACACCAGGCTGGCCTTAAATGCACAAGAGATTACTTGCCTCTGCTTCTGGTGTACTGGGATGCCATGCTTTTATAAATGGACTTTGTATACATTCTCTCTCTCTCTCTCTCGTTTTTTTTGAGACGGGGTTTCTCTGTATTGCTTTGGAGCTTGTCCTAGAAGTAGCTCTGTAGACCAGGCTGGCTTCAAACTCACAGAGGTCCACTTGCCTTTGCCTCCCCAGCCCTAGGATTAAAGGCGTGTGCCACCAACACCCGGCTGCGTACATTCTCTTGTAACAAGAAATAAATGTCATCACACCATTTCTTTGAACATTTTCTTTGGCTTGGTCTTTGACCTAGGTTGGTTCAGATGGATTGATGAAATTGAATGGCTCAGCCCTTAACAATGAGTTCTTCACTTCTGCTGCTCAAGGCTGGAAGGAAAGGCTGTCAGAAGGTAAGTGTTGCCCTGTGGCTTCAACAGTGTGTGTGCCTAAGTACTAGAACAGATTTGGAAGGTGAATGTATTAGTCATGGCTAGCTAGAGGAACAGAACTTATAGAATGAATATCTATAAAGGGGGTTTAATGTGGCCTAGCTAGTTCAGCTGTCTACCAATAGAAGGTCCAAGAATTCATTAGTTTTTCAGTCTTTGCCACAATCCCAAAGTAGGCTATAGTGTCAATGAAGGAATGGATTTCCCACAAGGGCAAGCACAAGCAAAGAGTGAAAGCTTCCTTCTCCCATGCCACCCACAGGTGTGACCCAGATTAAAGATGAGTCTTCCCACTTTAAATTAATTAAGAAAAATAATTCTTCACACTTGTGCCCAGCCTCTTGGGTTTTAGTTTATTCCAGATGTAGTCAAATTGACAACCAAGACCAGCCGTCATAGTGAAGATGACGAAGTTTCCTAAACATAGCTTTTTCTGTTCCGTGTGAAGCGTTTAGACAGACACCAATCTGTAGCCATTTGTAAGCCATTTCTTTAGCCCTGTTTAAAGCAATGTTTCTAACCCCTCTGGTTCAGTATCCTACTGTACTGTCACCTCCAGTGTGAAATGGACAGAAAGGGAAAAGCTGAGTACACATAATGTAGGATCCACTCATTTGAAGTGATAGAACTTGCTCTGTAGACCTGGCTGACCTTGAACTCACAGAAATCCACCTGCCACTGCCTCCCAAGTGCTGGGATTAAAGGCATGTGGCACCACTGGCTGGCTCTGGTATCAGGTATTTCATTACTGTCTTAGTTACTTTCCTATTGCCCTGACAAAACATCATGACCAAGACATCTTACAGAAACAGCATTTAATTTGCACCTTGCTTACAGAGGGATTATGCCTAGGAGGAGAGGCAGAGAGGTAGAGGCAGCCAGATCTCTGTGAGTTTGAGGCTGGCCTGGTATACAGAGCAAGTTACAGGACATCCTGAGCTACACAGAAACCCTTTCAGGGGTGGAGTGGGAAGTAAAAAACTCAAGCACAGCTTTCTCAGACTTTGAAATGGCAAGATATTCAGTGGCATTATTTATTGAACGCACGTTTGTCACTCTTCTAGTTGGCAGTAGAACTTGGAGAATGGAGCTGATAAATGAGGAGGTCTGAAGTCTCATGCAGTAGCCAATTTTACTCATAGCATCAGACAGTTTATACTCTAAGGCTTAAGAGGAGTCACATGGGCAAGCTGCATGTGGCAGGCAAGCTGAATATAGCTAGCTTTAATGAAGTAAACTCACTCCCCTATACCTGGGAGGGGCACAAAAGCATAATCCAAGAACAACTTGTGCTTTGAAGAAACTGAGGTCACAAGACTTGTTTTCTTGGAGTTTGTTCACAGGCACTGAGAATTCTCACATGACTCCATTCTTGGACTGTGTTCCGACACACATTTATTACTTTCATTCCATTAGGAAATAAACTAAAAATTTGGGATTAGAGGCAAGAAGAAATCTGTATGGTATATGATGCTTGTAATTGGAAAAAGATACTTTAGGGACCACCTGGAGAACAAGTGCTTATGGGCCTTAGCTGCATATTAAAAACTACAGAGTAATATGTGACTGCCTGAACTCCACCTAGTGGCATTCCTGTCTCCTGTCTAGCTAGTTTTTTTGGGAAGCTTGTTGCTTTGATATGATAGTATTCTGTTACTACATGAGTCTTTCATGATTAAAATTCGTGAATAATGCCTTTCTCTTGTCGATGCATCGCAGGTGAATTTACCCCTGAAATGCAGGTAAGAATTCGGCAAGAGATTGAGAAGGAGAAGAAAGTAGAGCCATGGAAGGAGCAATTCTTTGAAAGCTACTATGGTCAGAGGTAAGATATTAATTCCTCCACATGTCATGTGATGCTTCCATGTTTTTAACTTACTAGAAAGTCCAGTGTCTAGTTTCCTATAATCTTTATGTGTGTGTGTGTGTGTGTGTGTGTGTGTGTGTGTGTGTGTGTGTGTGTGTGTGTGTGTTTTGCTTTCTGAAACAGGGTTTCTCTGTGTTGCTTTGGAGCCTGTCCTTGAACTTGCTCTGTAGACCACACTGGCCTCAAACTCACAGAGATCTGCCTGCCTCTGCTTCCTACGTGGGATTAAAGGCATGTACCAATACCTCCTGGCCTGGCCTCATTAATTCTTTTTCATCCAGAACATTAGTTTCTTTCTTTTTATTTTTTTATTTTAAGAATCACAGGTTGACAGAATTTTATCCTTGGCCCTTAATTTACATCGTTGGCAGAGTAGGTCCCGATCACTTAAAATGGATTGGATTTTTTTTTTTCTTCTCTTTTTACTCTTAAATTAGAGTCTTTCCTTCTAACAGACTGGCTTTTAGTAATTTCATGGGCTAGAATTATATTTGAGAATTCTAGCTAACATGTAACTTACTCAAAACCAGTCAGGAATCCTAAGAATCATGTAATGTGGGCCATTATACCAAACATGTAATTAAAATCCCTTTCCTCTGTGACTAGGAGATGTGTATAACTAAATCAAGATTTTGTTTTTTCATGCTCTTTTTTAACAACCAAAAATAAAGTCAGAATGAAATTGTACTGGAGACATTTAATTGAAAACAGCCACTTAGTTTGAATAATAGTATTGTGCATTCCAACCCCTATTTGTTAGTCTCTCTTTCTTCTTTATACATACCTGTGAAAGCCAATCAGAGGACTCCATTGATCATAGACTGAGAAATTAAGGGCTTTTTCTTGGTTCCAAATAGTATTCATTGATCCTCTTCCTTCCTAATCACTTAAGATAGACCCTACTGAAATTAAGAATCTCAAATGCTAGCCCAGCTGTGATGGTGCACACTTATAATCCCAGGACTTGGGAGGCAGATGTAGGTAGATCTCTAAGTTTAAGGCCAACATGATCTACAGAGTTCAGGACAGCCAGGGCTACAAAGAGACAAAACTCAAAAAGTCTTAGTTCCTGATTTTTCTGCTATAAGCTATAAAATTGGTGGTGAGTGTATTATTATAAGTTAGAGTGATTCTATGGGTGCATGTGCTGCAGTGTGCTTTGGGAAATCAGAAGACAGCTTTTAGGAGTTTGTTCTCTCTACCACGTGAGTTCCCTGGTTTGAACCCAGGTGATCAGGGAAGCACCTTTTTCTTCTGAGATATCTTGCAGGCCCTAGATAGACTGTTTTTTGATGGTTTGTTTGCTTGATTTTTAACCAATTCTTTTAAGGTGGGAGGGTTTAATTGATTATTGCTTAGAAAAAGAAGAGAAGGGGAAGAAGGAAGGGAGGCAGGTAGACAAGCAGGCAGGCAGGCAAACATTAAGAAGATGGGTGCCACTTATTGCTAGGCCAGCTGTGCATGTCACACATGACTTTTACTTCTGGATAGCTCAGTGGCAGCATCCTCAGAACTTTGGATGTGGTCTGAGTGTGATATCAACAGGCTCTATGCAAAGTCATTCCTGGTCTGAACTTCTTAAGCGCATCAATAACTTTGTTGCTGTCTTCTCAGGTTGGCTCTCAAGGCTTGGGTCAGGCTTTCCACAAACACTAACGAACAGAATTGATCACAGTTCTTGTAGGTGGCCTGAGACTCTGTAGGTAATATGACTCCCATAGAAGCAAAACTGATAGTAACAGCTACCACTATCTAACTTTTACTGTGTGTCAAGTGAAAACTTAACATGGAATAACTTAACTTCATCATAGCAAGGTGAGGAAGCCTAGTCAGTCAGTATCTTGTCTACAATCATCACCAGACTCAGAATTTTAATTTAGTTACTTTGACTCAAGATTTCTATAGAAAATGCTATGTGTCCAGGGTTTTCTAGTTTCTGATATAGTCTACTTTTCTTATGTATTAACTAATGTGCATTGTTTCCCAACTAACAACAGTTTCTTCAATATTTTAGTTCTGGCTTAAGCCTTGAAGATTCACAGAAATTGACAGCTTCCCCAAGTGATTCCAAAATAAAGAAAACCCCACCTGAACAACCAAAATCCATATTTCCTTCAGAGTCCTCTCCTGTCAGAATCATCCCAGTAGTTCCCCAGTCAGAGTGTAAAAAAGAAGCAGTGCAAATGCCATCACCATTCAGAAAAGAAGAAAGCCAAGAGGAGGCACAGCCAATTTCTGAATCCCCAGAACCCATCCCTGCCACAGCCAATTGTACAAGTGAGCTTATCACCATGAAGTCTGTCAAGTGCCCTAAGGATGAAGAGCTCTTAGAGCAGAAGCCAGTTGTCTGTGCTGAACAAGAGTCTGAGAAAGAAAATCAAGTCACCGAGACTTCTAACTGTAACAAAGGTGAGAACCAAGAAGTGTCAGCTACCTCCCCAAGCAAATCCAAGAGTTCTGGGTTAGAGAAAGTCGTAACAAAGCCTGTTGTAGAAGCAGGTCCACTGGACCATGATGCGAGGATGCCTCCTGCAACTCTTACTGATCAGACCCCAGAAAGTCTCAAAAGGAAATCTTCTCTTATCCAAGAAGACACTGCCAGCAGCTGGGAGAAAAGACCACGTATCACTGAGAATCATCAGCACCAGCAGCCATTTCAGGTCTCACAACAGCCCTTTCTTAATAGAGGGGACAGGGTCCAAGTGCGAAAAGTACCACCTCTCAAGGTAAGAAAGTGACTTTCATAAGAAAGTTAAGTTTCATAACTTGTGCTATTTACATAGAAGCAGTAGTACATATTTAATATATGTATAACTGGTATTATATAAATACTAATAATCAGGCTCTAGAACTGTAACCCCCCCCCCCAAGTGCTTTCTTGATATTTGAGTAAGGACCCTGAGTATGCAAGCTACCCCAGCCCCTGACAACTCCTCTTTGAGGCAGTCTTGATACAGAACTCAGAATGGCACTGATGGATTCTTATGTTGCTGTCGTTTTGTATTGTTTTGGGTTTTTATTTTCCCAATGTCTCACTGTGTAGTCCTGGATGTGCTGGCACTAGTTTTGTAGACCATACTAGCCTTGAACTCACAGAGATCCACCTGTCTCTGTTTCCCAAGTGCTGGGATTAAAGGTTTGGGCTCCCACCGCCTGGCTCAGGAATGATTTCTAGACCTAGGAACCATATTACATCTTGGTTTACTCCAGAATGGTTCTACACTGAACACTTGAATCTACTCTGACCAGATTAATATTTTCTCCTTCATAGGATTTTGTCAGAAGTTATTTAACTTTTTTATGTTTTACCCTATCTAGCTTTCATAGACAGAGTTTAATATAATTTATAACAGGTCAGGGGGTGGTGGCAGGCGCCTTTAATCCCAGCACTTGGGAGGCAGAGGCAGGTGGGTCTCTGTGAGTTTGAGGCCAGCCTGGTCTACAAGAGCTATTTCCAGGACAGGCTCCAAAGCCATAGAGAAACCCTGTCTCGAAAAACAAAGCAAAACAAAAAAAAATTTATAACAGAATATAATGTTTTAGGCTGTTTGTTTCTACGTGCATATAATACCAGCACTAGGAAGATAGTGGAAAAAGATAATGAATTGGCTAAACCATCGAGGCCTTGTCTCATAACAACAACAAAAACAGCATTTTAAGTAAATTTGAATTTTAGTATAAATGTTACAACTTGATGTTTTTTGTTTGTTTTATATTAAAAGTAAAAAACTCTAGCTGGACGGTGTCGGCACATTTCTTTAATCCCAGCTTCAGGAAATAGAGGCAGGCAGATCTCTGTGAGTTCAAGGCCAGCCTGGTCTACAGAGAGTTCCAGCACAGCTAAAGCCTCACAGAGGCCCTATGTCTAAAAAATTAACAAAAAAAAAAAAAAAAAAGTAAGAGGATCTAATGACTTTATTATGTATCCACTCAGTATTGTTTTCCCTTCCACCATAGAATGGTTTATATTCTTGAAAGCAAGCCATAACATCTCATTAATGCTTTATAAATACAGTAATAATTCTAATTTAAAAGTAAGAAAGCTTTATTAGCTGCTTTGTTTAGTGTCAGTATGTTAACACTGATGGCTTTTAAGTTATCATGTGCTATGTTAAGTAACATGACATTCTCAGGAGTGTTATGAGCCTGGTGCAGTGACACATCTGTAATCCCTGTACTTGGAAGGATCACAGGTTTGAGGACAGCTATGATCTACAGTATATATACACTCCACACATGCACACACTCCCCAAAAGTGTGTGTGTGTGTGTATACACACGTAGTACCCTATGACCTTACACTTGAATTATCTAAATAAGGTCATTTTTTTCCCAAAACAAATTTCTTGAATTTTAAAGTTTTACCTATTTTCTCCCATAATCTCTTCTCTGTATTAATAAGAGTCAGTAATAATTGCTTCTTTTTCCTCCGTGCCACTTATAAACTACCATGTGCTGAGTAAAAATGTTGTCTAAGCTTTGACAACTAAGTATTAAACACACTTTTGTTTGTTTTATTATGTTGTTTTTTGTGGTTTTGAGATAGGTATTCTCTGTGTGGCATTGAACTCAGAGATCCTCCTGCCTCTATCTCCTGTGTGTTGGGATTAAAGGTGTGCATCACCACTGTCCAGCTAGACAAACTTACTTTTTAAGTGTATGTATTTTGTGATAACTGTTACAAAATACCACACTGATTTCTATAGAGAATTGATTCATAGTACTTAGGACTTTTTGAGTACCAATGTAAGACCCTAATTCTGGGGTCCTGATGGGCCGATGGGATAGCTCCACGACACAAACACCAAAACCAGGAGATGCAACAAGCAAGAGGTGTTTATTGTACGAGTGCACTCGGGTGTCAGCGATCTTGGGGAAAGCTGCACACCCCTCAAAGGGTTCAGGCTCTTTTTATAGAGAAGACCACAATCAGCATACATGCAAGGGGCACAAGGTGATTGATTACAAAGTATGATCTCATGTTTGAGAGATCACCCAAGAATGACCTGTTATTATTTAAAGGATAAACCATAGAATGACTTGGAAAGTCCCCAGACTGTCCGTTGGCCAGGAGTGATCCAGACAGGGCTGATCATCTGGAATTACATGTTTCAGGGTTGGGGGCCTATTTCCTTGTTGTGGGCCAAGACCTGTGAGAAACTTTTTTCATATTCTGGCTTTCTCTTGACTATACATTTAGAGCTTTCAGTTATTCCACAAAGGTTTGATGATTCAGTAACTAGCCCTATTTAACAAGATAAGCCTAGCATATAACCATTAGCCCCATCACCATAGTAACCTTTCTTATTCTCATAATTCCTGTTCTTTCCTCCCATGTCAGTGTCCATATTTTATGATTTTCTATATTCTGCTTGCAAGAATTATTTTTCTTCTTACATCTTTGCTCTGCAAACTAAAATCTTTCACTAAAATGTAGTGACTTCACAATTAATTTATAATTGAAGAATTTATAGAAACATGGCATAATTTTCTTGGAATTTAATCACTTAATTTTTTGAAATTAAATACTCCACAAAATTAACAATTTTTCCTCCTTTAAACTCAGCCTGATACTTACTGAAAGGGTTGATATCTGAATGCACTGTAGTTAATTTCCTTAACTTCCAAAGTTTTATATAGGACAAGAATCAGATTCTTTTATGATGTAAAAAACAGTTTTTTTTTTTTTTTTTTTAGTTGGGCATAGTGACACATAGTTTTACCTTTAATAGCAGAGCCAGGGGGGTGAATCTCTGTGAGTTCCAGGATAACTAACTATTACATAGTAATACTCTGTCTCCCAAAAAAAAAAAAAAAAAAAAAAAATCAGTGGTTTCAAAGTCAGTAGTTTATTACAAATTTTTTTTTCTTTAGTGTAATACTCATTTTTCTAGCCACTTTGATTCATAAATTGGGGGATTAGATCCAAAACCACATGCATTAAAAGTTTACACAAATAAGGACAGTATTCACCAGGGTGAAAATGCCTGGCAGACATTATGTTTGTGGTCCCTTATGTGGGTAGACAGAGTAGGGTTGGACCCTCAACATGTATGTATTCTTAGTCATAGAGAAACCATGAATTTCATGAGTGCATTGTGCACATCTGCTCTAGTCAGATCTGAAATTGATCTCTGCTCCCCCCTCCCCTCTTTTTTTCAGATCCCGGTCTCCAGAATCTCCCCGATGCTGTTTTCTACATCGCAGGTCTCTCCCAGGGCTCGTTTTCCAATCTCCATCACTAGTCCTTACAGAACAGGAGCCAGAACTCTGGCAGACATCAAAGCAAAAGCCCAATTGGTCAAAGCACAAAGGGCAGCAGCCGCTGCAGCCGCTGCAGCTGCTGCAGCCGCCTCAGTTGGAGGGACCATTCCAGGACCTGGCCCTGGGGGTGGACACAGTCCAACAGAGGGTGGAGAAAGAAAAACTGCTAGAGGAGGGAGTCCAGGCTCAGACAGCGTCAGTACAACTGGAAAGGGTCCCACACTGGAACTGGCAGGAACTGGAAGCAGGGGAGGTACGAGAGAGCTTTTACCCTGTGGTCCGCAACTTGAGACCAATATACCAGGCCAAGCACAGCCTCCTGGTGTCTTTGGAGCACAACTACAGCAAACCTCCTCAGTGCCTACAGCACTTGCCATCAGTAGAACATGCACAAACATCCCATTACCAGCCCACATAGAAAAATCAAACAGTGAAAAACTGAACCCCCCCAAGGCAACAGCCTCAACACCCTCTCCTTGCCACCCTCAAGACCCCAGTAGTTGCAGACAGGAGAAAGCTTCTTGTTCAGAAGGGCCTGCTCTGATGTCAAGAGCTTCACCTGTTTGTTTTGTAGTTGATGGCACACTTGAGCCCAAAGCAGGCTCTAACAAGAATGCACCAAAGCCTTCAGTTTCATCAAAGGTAGCTGCTTCTGCTCGACTGGATATGACTTCCCCCCCTTTAACATCCTTACTGACAACAGCCAGTTTAGAAAAACTCTCTGTGCCCCAGGTCAGTGGAACTGCACCATCTACTGGATCAGCTTCATCCTCAAGCACTTTGCCAGCAACTTCTAGCCTTAAAACCCCAGGAGCTTCTGCAAATATGAATGGACCCGTTTCAAGACCAAGTTCTAGTATCCCTGCTAATAACCCTTTAGTTACTCAGCTTCTCCAGGGCAAAGATGTTCCCATGGAGCAAATTCTGCCTAAACCTCTCACCAAAGTTGAAATGAAAACAGTCCCACTGACTACAAAAGAGGAGAAGGGGATAGGAGCATTCCCTGGTACCAGTGTAATGGAAAGTAGCACCAGAGAGGAAGTTAATGGCAGGCAAGCCTATCTGGCCATCCAGCAGCTGGGGAAACCCTTGCAGAGTAAGCAGCTTCCCCAGGTCCCAAGGCCAGTTTTCGAAGCGAAAGACCCGAGGGACTCTGGCATTGACACTCACCAATACCCCGAAGGACTAAGTAAAACAACTCAAGATCAGCTTTTCCAGACTCTTATCCAGAGGGCTCAGAGACAAAGTGTTCTTTCATTTGTGCCACCCTCTCAGTTCAACTTTGCTCACTCAGGTTTCCAGTTGGAAGATGCAACCACAAGCCAGAAATTCATGCTGGGCTTTGCTGGCAGAAGGACATCCAAGCCTGCAATGGCAGGTCATTATTTACTTAATATTTCTACCTATGGTCGGGGTTCAGAGAGCGTTAGGAGGACCCATTCTGTAAATCTGGAGGAGCGATTTTGTCGAAGTAGCCCTACTGAAGACTTGAGAATGGGTTATGCAGATTGTAAAAACACAGCTGGAGACAGCAGCAGCAGCAAAGAAGATGAAACTGATGAAGAGAGTGTCGGTGATGAGCAGGAGCCTGTGTCAGTGAAGGAGGAGCCCTGGGCTTCTCAGAATTCTGGCAAGCATCCCCACAGTGGGGAAACTCCATCCACCAATGATTGTTTAGCTAGCAAGAATGGTAAGGCTGAGACACCCATGAATGAGCAAACCACTCTTGGCAAGGAGAATTACATATTCTCTAGAGGCCAAACATTTGATGAAAAGACCTTAGCAAGAGATTTTATTCAAGCAGCACATAAACAAATGGCTCACGCTGTGAGAGGTAAGACAGTATGTAGCAGCCCCGAGCTTTTCAATTCTACTGCTCTTTCTCTCCCTGCAGACAGTCCCACGAATCAACCTCTACTCCTTCCACCACTGCAAACCCCCAAATTGTATGGAAGTCCCACACAGATAGGGCCAAGTTACAGAGGCATGATCAATGTCTCCACCTCATCAGACATGGACCATAGCTCTGCTGTACCAGGTAGCCAGGTATCTAGCAATGTAGGGGATGTGATGTCATTTTCAGTGACTGTCACTACCATCCCTGCTAGCCAAGCAATGAACCCCAGCAGCCATGGCCAGACAGTTCCTGTTCAGGCCTTTCCTGATGAGAACAGCATTGAGGACACACCCTCAAAATGTTACTGCCGGTTGAAAGCCATGATCATGTGCAAAGGCTGTGGAGCTTTCTGTCATGACGATTGCATTGGCCCCTCCAAACTGTGCGTCTCCTGCCTCGTCGTTCGGTGATAAGACTACAAGTATGTAAAGGAGGGAAGGGTAGGTGTAACCAGATGTGTTCTTGCACCCTTTGAAATCACAGAAATAAAGTTTCAGTTGTCTCGAGAGACGTTAATCAGGAATGCAGAATGCAGGTCTTCACATTTACAGGAAGAGCACCTTGTATAGTAAGTCTGAGTCAAGTAGGTCTATGAATTGGTGACAAGTTTGCACTTAAAAATCATGTAAATATGTCACATTTTGTTTTAGCATTGTTTTCCAAGTATTTAGGTAATGATGTGTTAACTTTACATTCAGATTTATGTTCCATTTCTTTTTGGCTCTGAAAATAGTTGTGTGGTATGAAAGGAAGTTGTTTGCCTCTGACCTTTCCCAGACTGAGGAAAAGGAAAGAGTGGTCAGGAAATGAGTGACCATCATGCTGATTTTGTCTTCACAGACTGGATGCAGGTCCTTCACAAATAGCATGCTTTTGTGGGATTTAGATTTGCGGTTTACTCATTCCTCTCCTTTAGGTGGAACCATTCTAAGTGGAATTTTTAAAAAAGAAAATCACATCTCAGTGTTTTTGATCCTGACAGTCTTGACTTAGCTTTTGGCTTCCATGAATCAGTACTGTTATCAAGCCTAGCTCTGCTGTTGCCTTGACAGTGAATGCCATTTAAGAAGGGTCTGCTTCTAAGGGACTCCTGTAGTCAGTCTAGTCTTTGCATGGCATTAGTTCCATCAATAATACATCCTGACACTGCATCGTTCATGGGTTCCCGCAAATAGGTCTGAAATACCAGTGTAAAATAAAATGCACAAACACATTAGTGTGTGTGTGTGTGTGTGTGTGTGTGTGTGTGTGTGTGTGTGTGTGAAGTGTCTTGCTGGCAAAGGGGAATGAAACTGAAGAAACAAACTTAGCTTGAGGAATTTGGAAAAGTGATTTTTAGCACTGGACATAAAGTATTTTCTTTTCCTATTCTCTCTTAAACCATTTCGGGTAGAAATGCTCTTTGGTGGGACCTCTTTTCTGCTTTGACATCCAGGCATGAGAGATGGGTGCAGTGATCTTATGTCGTTTTACATGTTTACATCCACACACACAGAAAGTAGACAGTTGGCTGTTTTAGAAGTGAGTCTGCTAGTCTAGGATACCTGATGTAAAAGGGCATTATGAGTGACTAATCAAAAAGCTGGCTGTGAAATTTTACAGTTTTTCTTTCCTTTTGATTATTATTCTTAAAATCCTTCTCCCAACACTCTGGAGGCAGATGCAGGCTGATCTCTGATTTCCAAGGCCAGCTTGGTCTTTATGATAAGTTTCAGGACAGCCAGGGCTATATAAAGAAACCTGTCTCCAAATCCTAGATAAATTTTAAAAAGTCTGTTTATAAAGCAAAACAAAGCAAGTACAAAAAGGTTTTCAAGGTGGTAGACCTGTTGACACACACATAAAATCGCAGCACTTGGGAGGCAGAGTCAAGCAGATCTCAGAGAGTTCAAGGCTAGTCTGGTCTACATAGCAAGTTCCAGGGTACACAGTGAGACACTGTCTTTAAAACAAATACAAAGAAGTAGTGACAGATTTTAAGCAAATACTAAAGTCACAGTTAAAGACAGATAAGGAAAACATCAGTTCACCAGAATTTAGTATCAAATACCCAGTGTGTATTGTTTGATTTCAAGTCTCCTAATTTGAAGTAATATTGCAGCCCAGTACAGGTGGGTTTCAAAAGCTATTCATAAACTCAGGGCAGTTTAACCCTGTTAATTACATCACAGGTAAGGAGACAATACTGTGCTTTGCCTGCCTTGTCCTCATCCCTGGCCATCCAACTTCTTACATCCTATGCATGTGCTTCCTCAGTCCTTGCTCCAAACTCTGAAACTCATGTTTCATTTTTCTTTCCTGCTCTTGTGGCCCTAAACATTACAGGCTTAAATTCTGTGTTTCAGAACCAGTGAAGACAGAATAATGTCTTTCCATCTTGCCTTTATTCCAGTAATAAAGGCACAGCTAAGAGAAAAGAAAGGCCGTAAGATTTGGGGTTAAGGTCGGTGTGTGTTCTGAAGTAAAGGACCAGTAGGAAATAGAAGCCAGGGTTCTGCTCCCAAACCTTCAGGACCTTGGGTAGTCCCCATGGGACCATGGAAGACCCATATCTGAGTAGTCTCCTTGTCTAGCCTGCTGGAAGAGGGTGAGTGATGCAGAATGAACCTGGTGCTGGCAGTGGCTAGTCTGTATTGTGGAAAGTAATTTAGAAAAGTTTTGCTCTATGGTTCTGTTAATGTAAAAATGGGTGGACATTAGGGACTGTCAGATCCATTTAAAGAGGAAACCAGCTAGTTTACATCTTATTATTCCAAAAGCAGAACCTGCCAGCTAGGTACATTGCCTCAGACTGACAAGAAACAGGTATGAATCTATTTAAATGGTTTCAGATAGAATAGGAACGTTCATCTTATAAAAGAACAGGGGAAAAAATTGGCCCTGTAAGTTGAATAGGTACGCCAGTACCTATTAACACATTTTTTTTTTATCATAACTTTTTAGCTGTTTTACCTTTAAATTAACTCTGAAATGGTTCAATAAGTGTTAAGTTTATTCTTTGGGCTCTAGGTGGCAATTTCCAGTGTGGTTTTAAATATCATTTCTGATCCAACATGCCAGTGTGTCCCCTCCAGCCTTCACTGAAGTTACTTCAGCAAGAGTTCTCTGGGAGAATATTAATGACATGTCATCTCAGGATACTTTTTAAGTGTTCTGAGTTGCCTAAGTAGCACACTCCCTGAATTATACAGTTTTTTTTTTAATTTTTAATCAAAATTCTTTATCCTATTAACTTAAGGATGGGGACACAAAAAACCTGGAGTTGTTTGCCCTGCTTCAATTCCTTAACCCCTGTGCTCAAGACACAGTGTTCCACGTAGCATTTCTTAAGAGTAAAAACTGGCTTTTGTTGAGGAGTGAAGGCTGTACTTCCCTGGGTGTAGAGATGTGGATATTTGAGAGCCTGTTTCAAATGTAGATTAACAGCCAAAAGAAGACCTCACTGGCTTCCAGGTGAAGGTGAAGTGTCCTGTGTATAACAGGCCCATCAGTTACCATTCTAATTGCTCTATACTGCCTTCCTCCACTTTAGAAAATCTTAATGAGCTCTTTGGTTAAATGGGTTGTTGGAATGAGGGACTTCACTTCCTTTGGTCATTATACTGCTATTTGTTTTAGAGCTCTTTGCTAATGAGCATTGTCAGCTATTTTCTCTCTGACTGCACATCATAACAAAGAGAAGGAAGCTTCCAGTTTCATCACAACAGTATGTGCTAAGTAGAAAACTTGGCCATGGGTAGTTTGTACTCAATTTATAGAACAGTCCAAAGAGACTTTGTGAAACATGATGACAGGCAGGGACCTTTTCCTATGTGTTTCAATACCTACATACCTATTGAACAGAACAGTAGGTAGACATTTCCTAAAGTTGAAGCAATAGCTTCATAGAGTCTTGGTTACTTTATTTTTTTTAATGATTTACATTTGATACAACTATTAAAGATCAATTTTAAAATAGCTTTCCAGTAATATATTTTAAGTAATATATATTTTAATATCTATGTAAAAAGTGACAGTGGAAGACTGAATTTCTCATATATGGTATGTTTAATGTAGGATCTCACTGTTAAGGCACAAATTATTTCAAAGGAGTTACTCTAAAAACACTCAGATTATCCCCCCCCAAAAAAAAAAAAAGAAAGGAAAAAATGCAATAAGGGGAGTGACTTGGGGGCTTTATTTTTATTTTTAAAGAAAATTGACTTATTTACCACAAGCTATTTTTCCTTCTCTGGTGATAAGGTTTGTACAGACTGGTTTGGTAAATTCTAAATTTTTGTGTCTTTTGCCTTTTTAAAGGGATTGTTAACATTGGAATTGAGGGTATGTACAGAGAAGTTGGTGTCGACGCCATTTAATAAGTCATATTTTTTCACAAATAAGGAAAATCATTTTAATAAGAATTTTAAGTATTTGCAATAAATATATGTATATAGATTGTATGTATTCATATATTATTTTTCATTTTATTATTAAGTAAAAGATAATTAAAAGTGAAATTTAAAACCTTGTAGTTTTTTTGATGAATCTTGAGATCTGACATCTGGATGTGACATGGGGAAGGGACCTGAAATAGTCACCTTACACAGTTATGGTATGGTCACCACAGACTGGAGACGAGTAACTGAGGAACTTGGCCATAAGTCAGGGTAGTGTATTTCAGAACTTAAGTAAAAATATTAAAACTTCATTACTTATTCATTTGGTGTTTTCACCCTTATCTGTTCTTTCTCCTAACCACATAATGTCACTGGAAGGGTGAGAAAAATGGTAGTCTCTTGTAGCGTACCTGTGGTTTCTTCTAACACCAAGGCAGCTAAAGAGATGTTAGGGGAAACAGGCTTTACCTGTATAGCAGTTGATGCTTTGTTAGATATTGATGCCACAATATACCAAGCCCTGGGGATGTTGAAGAACTAGTTTCTTAAAGATGCAGAAGGTTTGGTTTCTGTTGCCCAGTTGTTCTCCAAGGTGAGTTTCATAGCCAAATTGATGGCCTGCTAGACTGATCTATGCAGGTCCAAAGCTACATCTGTGTCAGAGGAACATCTGTGTTTAGCTAGGTTCTGTTTCCACATAATTCGCTTGTATCAAGAGCATTTAGGGAAGTGAGCAATGACAGAATATTTGAAGTTAATTGTCTTTGGTACCACACCTGGATTACTGTTGAGTCAAAGAGAAGTCACTTGTGGTTGTAAAATAAATGTTAGGATGTAATGGGGAGAACAGAATATCTATATAGAGGGTCTTAGAGATAAAGATAGCTTGTATAACTTGGGTAGTGAAGGGCTGGGATGGAGTTCAGTGATAAAAGTACATCCACTTGCTCTTCCTCCTGAGCGCTGGTGTTTTTAAAAGTACTGTTTGAGTCCAACATCTGAATTACATAAAAACATTGAACTTCAGCCATCTAAGAGGATAATCTTAGCGATCTAAGCCGACTGCAAGACCCCCCCCCCCCCAAACCCACATAGAAGGTGCACGTTTGTGGTGTTTTGCTTTAGGGAGTAGAGCAAGGCTTATCTGGAGCTTTCCAGGCCAGTTAAGCTCCAGGTTCACTGAGAAAACCCTGTCTCAAAAATAAGATGGAGAAACGACCTGTACATGTGCCCATGCAGGCAAGTGCGCTTGAATACATATGTGTGCACACACAAAAGAAATTTTGTTAACTCAGGGAACATGTATCTGTCATAATTCCTACTCATGAAAGCAGTGAAGGTGATATATTTATGTGTATTGTGACCATTAAAATAACTTCCATTTATGTAATAGTACATACTGAGCTCAGTCCCATAGTCATGTGATATGGGACTCTTATTTACTTTCCAGAGCCTTGGAAACCTGTGTTCATTGCGTTTCACATTTCTCAGCTTTTATATACAAATCCTGTTACTAAGTATTTATTGGGTGCTTACTGTGTGCTCAGTGTTGGTAAAGTGCTGATTATGCAAAGAGAAAACATTCACCTAAACAGTTCTTCTTAAAACTGCAACCCTGCAGCACAGGCTGTAGATTTTATTATTCAATTAATCAATGCTATGTTTCCCAAAAGAAGTATAAGTGAGTTGTAAAGTAGAAGCTTTGATCACCAAACAAACCAGTAGTGACATGAAAAGACATTGCCACTGGATGAAAGCAGCTAATACAGACCTAGGAGCCACATTAATAAGACGTACGGTTTGGGATCATTGCAGGATAGAAAGGCTGGTTAATAAACACCTGTAGCTTTAGGAAAATCTTAAACGTTGAGTTTCATATTCTTGCTGAGAAGAAACTTGAGTTCATTTGAATTCTTGTGTCCTTTTCTTTCTCCATAATGGATGGATAGGATCGCTTTAATAAGTTATCTCAGTATTGTAGAATTGCCCTTAAGCCACAGGATGAAAATGCACTTCAGCCTCTTTTCCTTAGGCCACAGTCCTAATTCTCTAGGGCTTTCTGATAGGTTAAAAGTCATAGTCAGTACTTGCTCTTGAATTTTCCTCACCTCTTGTCTTTAACCAGATGTTTGGGTTCACAACCTGATTTCTGTATGCCAAAATATCTATATCTACACTTGAAAGGGAGCCTTGGTGTATTTATTTCACCAAGCTCTGTCCAGGACACTTGCTGCCCTTGGGATATCTCACAGAAGGAGTGACTATTTCCTTATACAGTAGCTTCACTCTTTTTCTAAGATGGGGAGTTCCCAAAAGACAGAACAGGAACAAGAAGCCCTGAAAGAGCCAGATGTGGAGGCTGGCTGTGGCTTCTCTTGAGCTCAGTCTCATTTTTCTTGTCAACACTCCAAGAAGCTGAGGGGTAGAAATAAAAATCAAAATCTTGATGCTCATATTACCTGCAAAAACCTAAGGGGAGAAGGATAAACCCAAGATGAGGTTTTTAAATGGATCCCAGTAAAATTTCAATTGAGTGCCTTAAGTCCTTTTAAAAGGATTTTTAAAGGATCACAGGTTCTTTCAACATGAGTCACCATGAGTGTTGCATGGAATTTGATTTGGGAAATGGACTAAAAGAATAGGTTTCTGTGAATAATGGCAGCTTTTGCCACAGTCAGGGTGTTGGGCTATGTGTCTGTATCTGAACTTCAGGAACACCATTTTATTAAATTTAGTCAAAATTCTTCAGAAGATATGCTGGAATTTATTTCACATATAGTCCAGATCCCTCATATGGAACATGTAGAATATAAAATTATTTTAAAAACCAGAGTCTCATATTTTCAGACAACCTATAGTTTAGAACTGAAATTGGAGTTTACCCCCTCAAGTTGGGAATTCTTTTCAAGTCAGGGTATCAGGCAGTGTTAACATTTGGGGACATCTAACATCTGGAAGTGACTGCCAGAGTCACTGTTCAGGCACCAGTAGTCAAGAGGAGGGTATGGTCACATGCCTAAAGTTCCAGCAGTTGGCAGGCGAATGCTGCAAGAGGGCACATTCAAGACCAGACTGGGCTACATGAGACCCTGTCTCAAGAGGGAATGTCCTGGGCTGGGAATATGATGCTTAATCAAACTGTTCTTGGGAAAATACATGACATTTCTTGAACACAGGAAAAATGTAGAGTATACAACAAATGCATCTCTAGAAGTTAGAAAGCCTTCTGTAGCTGTAAGTGCGTCGATGTGTATTAGAACTCCTAACTGGGTGAGTTTCTACAGCACACTTTTCACCAGCAGCAAGAGAGAACAGAAGAGATGGCCTTGGCATTACTTGTTGACTGAAATCTTTGTGCATGTAGGCCTCAGTGCTTTAACACAGTCTGCCTTTCAACTCCACACTATCATCCGTTCTTTCACTTTCTACTCTTTTATTGGTACTACAGAAGCTGTCTTCTTGAATGTATGATATGGTTGTCTTAATGACTCTTGTTGAATAAAGGCATAGAGTTTTACTCTAATTGTTGTGCCTTTTCTTTCCTAGAGGAATGGAACACATGGCTTACTTGCAGCTGGTATCTCTCCTGGGGTCATCACTTAACTGTAATGTTTCTTTAAGACACATTCAAAAGGAGTTCAGGAACTCCATTTAAGCCCCAGCCTGTTTAAAAAAAAAAAAAAAAAACAGAAAAAAAAGTTTAGATTGCCTTATTTCACCACCATGTTAGGAGTTTGGGGTTTTCATCTCTCACGGTCCTATGGCACTTTTCAGAGTAGAGTTGGTGCCAGTAACTGACAGTTTGCATAGTTTGGATGTATATGGATGTCCCAGTGAGCTTTAAGTATTCCCATGTGCTATAAGTCTTTGTGGTGGGGGTGGGGTTTGGGAGGAAGCTGAGCTTGGTGGCGCATGCCTTTAATCCCAGCACTAAGGAGGCAGAGACAGGTGGATCTCTGAGTTTGAGGCCAATCTGGTCTACAAAGCAAGTTCTAGGATAACTAGGGCTGTTACACAGAGAAACCCTGTCTACAAAAAAAAAAAAAAAAAAAAAAAACCCAGTGACTTGAAGGAATATAAAGAAAAGTTCTGTCAAAAGGAATCAAGAGGTGTGTTTTCTGGCTTTCAAAATTTTGCAGTAAGTGTTTATATTTTCAATAGCAAATGTGTGGAAGGATATGTCCTATTTTGCTTTGCAGTTACTGTGATAAAACACTAATCAAAAGCAACTGAAGGAGGGAATAGCTTATTTTAGCTTACAGGTTATAGCATACTGTTGGGAGAAGCCTAGGCAAAAACTCAAGACCAGAGCTTGAAATAGAAAACAAAACACGAACTGTTTACCGTCTTGCTTCCCACAGTTTGACCAGCTTGCTTCATTTACAGCCCAGGTTCTACCTAGGGCTGGCATTGCCGCAGTGGGCTAGGCCCTCATGAGTCAATAATAAAAGGAAAGGCCTTGCCCTTTGATATGCAGTGGTGACCTCTGACACGCTGGTGCAATAGTGGCACAACCACTGGGCAGAGGTGGGCGGGTCTTTGTGAGTTCAGGGCCAGCCAAGCATACACAGAGAAACTCTGTCTTAAAGGGGGGGGAGGGGAGGTTCCTATACTCCAACAACTAATCAAAACTAATTCTTGATGGGAGATGTCATTCTGTAAATATGTTTCTCTTATTGATTAATGAATAAAGCACTGTTGGCTAATAGGGGAGCAAGACTAGGAGAGGTGGAGGATTCTGGGAAGCGTAGGAGGGAGTTGTGATGTGATCTCAGGAGAGGATGTGTGAGTCTGGCATTCTTGGTAACATAAGACCATGTAGAAGTACATATATTAGTAGTTATGGGCTTATATTAAGACAGCTAGTCAATAAGGAAGCTCTAGACATTGGCCAACAACATTATAATTAATACAGCATCTCTGTTATTTGGGGTTGATGAGACTGTGGGGCCAGGCTGGCCGGAAAGTGCTCATAACAAGTTCTGGCAAGAGGACAGGCCCCATTGTATGGGGTGCCCCAGAAGCAAATGGTTTTCAATATGTCATGATCAGTTAGTGAGAAAGGGAAGTTCTCAACCAGTGTGAACACTTATTACTTGATTGTTCATGTGTAAAATAATGAATGAG